AGCAAACACAAAATACATTCTCCTTTTTTGGAGATTTATAAATTCTGTTTGCAGTTCCTGTGGAAAAAAAAGAACCTTTCTAATCACTTCACCACAATGCCGAGAATCTCACATTGTGAGTAAAACAGCAGACATAAAGAGAAGAAAATCTCTCTTAATGTCAGCATACACCTAAATAGCAGAATGATGGACTTGTGATTTTTGTTGAAGGATTGTACTATTGTAATAATATAGGGAAAATCAGTGGGTGGAGGGGACTTAGGGAAGAGGGAGTGGAATTTCCAGACGCTGTGGAACTGTATCTTACAGCAAAACAAACAAACAAAAACAAACAAAAAACCGTTGTTTTCCAAGTTGTAAGTTTCTTTAAAACTAAATAAACCCAGCCCACACTTTTGGAGAGCTTACTCTATGGTGAGCAATATGCTGAATTTTGAAACATTAGGTCATGTAGCCCTCATAATCAACTGATGACTTACACAGCAGGAAACTGAGACTCAACAAAGGCTAAACAAACTAGCCAAGGTCATGTGGGTGATGGGAGGAGGAGCCAACCCACGCACAGTGCGTCCAAAGCCAGACCTCTCCACTGAGGTGATGGGGATGGTGTTAGCACTATCATTAGGGCTGCCTCCAGTCCATTGCTATAATACTTCATTGATAGTGATCAGTCCTGACTCAATTACACTGATTTCCTCTAGTCTACAAGCACAAAGGTCAGTATTTATCTTCATGTCCATTATAGCGTTTTCCTTGCTACTGCAGATGTCTTCTTCTATGTACAAATAGGCCACTGAATATGAAATCAACCAATTTACTTATTTATTAATTCCCCAGCACTGCATCTAAGATGTTGTCTGAGTTAATCAGATCCTTTAGGAACATGAGCTTTGATTTCACTTTGGAAATCAACTGTTCAATTTCCCTTTTGCATTGCATTTCTCCTTCTGATTTAGAGTATTTCCTTTATATTTTGTCCATGGGATATCTTAAGGGACTCACAACTTCTGAGCACATGATTCATTAATGCTCTAAAACAAATAACATCCCTAAGGCACAATTCATCTAGCTTATTTCACTCCTCCTCCGTTCTCCATGAAAGGAATTACTGAAACTTATCAGGTAAAATAATGTATACAATTAAGCAGAGAATACGAATGATCATCATACACTGCAAGAGATGATGGATGATTTCTGGTCCGCAGGCTCTCAACTTTACAAACTCTTATTTCAGAGTTTTCCAGTGCTAAAAACTATACATGCCAACCAGTGTTCAGCTGCAAAACCCATCATTAGCCTCACAGACAGCAGGACTCAAATACCGATGTCCCTCATTTGCTGTTGTGGTAAGCATCCAGAAACAGTTCTGCTTGAGAGAAGAGAGTGCTGACAACCGCACTAACAATGTGATAATGTACAAGAAAGATCCTTGGGAAACTCAGCAGATTTCTTTATAAATGGAGGCAGAATTTTCCAAAGACTTTGATATTTTTATTAAAACACCTAAGTTAGCTAGATAGGGCACTTTACGAGCAATATGACATTCTTCAGTTGGTGTGTTACATGGAATTCATTTTTACTGGTTTTGGAAAAAAATGAGACCAAAAGAGCATAAACTTAATGTTAGAGAGGTGATTTTCAGCCAGGTAAAGCTGAATAACACCGTATCGATTACACAGGGTGGCAATGAAAGCTAAGAGGGTGCATTTAATAGGACACTGGGGGAAGGACCAAGGCTATGGGCAGAAGTTCAAAACGCTACTTCTTTTACCCAGCATTTACAAGCAAGGACAGAAAAGGAGACAGGTACAAAGGCAGCTAGGTGTGTTAACTTAGGCGCATGCTTTTACCTCACTGGTGCCTGTACTTCTAGCTTGCAGCTCACTACATTTTAGCTCGCTCAGATTAATAAAACACAATATCTGCAAATGCATTGCAGCAGTAAACACCAATTTACCGCATGACTGCAAATATCTGCCTGTAGTCATTTCCCACTTGGGGAAAAATGGGTATTTTTACTTACATTTCTCTGACCTGGGAGATAGATGCTGGTTTTCATAGTTACATAGCATTTCAGTATATTTTAAATTATCTCATTTAAGGTCAGGAAGGAGATGGACTAGAACTGTTTTCAGATAAGGAAACTAACAGAGACCAAATCACTTGCACATCTAAGCCCAAGGTTTCCTGGTTTCTAGCTCAAAAAACAGGTGTTCAGCTTAGCAGTTGAAACACCTGTGTGTCACCTAAAAGTGTCCAAGTTCAATTCCTGGGTCTGGCTCCAAGTTTCCTGCCAATGCATACTGTGGAGTTAGCAGTGATCCTTCGGCTGGATAACTGCCCAAGACACTACACTCTGAACCAGGAATGGCCTCTGGAAACACCTTCCACGTGATTGAGAAAGATGGGGCCAGGAACGAAGCCTGTCTGTTGCAATGAGAGCTGCATGTCCAGGGAGCCTTCGGAGCTGTAACGAGTGTATGCAGGGATGCATCACAGCGGAAGGCTTCTGAGAACTCTGCCTTTGGAGTTGCACTTAAAGCCAGTTCATGAGTTAACTGAGAAAAGCTGCTTTGTCCCACTGTGACATTTTTGAGAAAAAGAAAACACATTTTTATCCATGTTATCACACTCCTTATGCACCATCTTGGGTCCAAATGACCTGATTATTTCTAAAGAATAAAATCACCACAGAGGAACAGAACTGAAGTCAGGAAATGCATGAAGAACTCACTCCGAGGATGAGGCCCATCACTACTTTGGTGCCACCGGAGAAACATGGATTACTGCATCTTGAAGGATGACTAGCGTGCATGAATCTTTATTTGAATTAACATGCTCAAGTTAGTTTGTTTAAAAAACTTAAATGAAACCTAGCTGCACAAAACAAAACACAAAAACCAAAAAATTTAAAGAAAACCTGCAAAGAGTTCAGTAGGACTTCCATGTATCCTGTTAAGATAATACTACTGCAGCGTTGGTGGTATAGTGGTGAGCATAGCTGCAAAAGAAATTTTTTAGCTTACAATCTGGGAACTTTTTAAAATAAAACTCACTATCAGTAACAGAATCTTGAGTGTACAATCTAAATTTATGTATAGCAGCTTACTTATAAATTATTCATACACTTAATAATAATCTCATGCATGTATGCTATGGACTGCCAATTAACATCTATCCACAACTCAAAGCTAAAATCCTAAACATAAGTGTGATAGCTTTAGGAAGTAGAGTTTTTGAGAGGTAATTAGCTCATGAGGGTAGAGTCCTTATGAATGAGAATGGACTGATATTCTTAAAAACACACGTGCCTGCTCTCTCTCTCTCTCTCACTCACACACACACACTGGATCTCTGCTTTACACAATGTGAAGTCACAGAAAGACAAGCCTAAGAATTTTGTATCTTGTTCTTGACCTTCTCAATTTCCAGAAGCATGAGAAGTCTCAATTAAGTTGTCTACAATAATTCATTAGTTCTCAAAGCTAAGATAATGTCTAAAGTGTGCTGCATACTATGAAGCAGACAATAAAAAAAACATGAGATACAAATACACATGTGCATTCTTTCTAATATTTTCATTCTTTATCCTAGGATAGCACTTTGCATATGTATACATTCCACTGTAGAAATGACTGTTTTAGGTGATGGGCTTGTGAACAAGGCCAAAATTCTTTCCTGTAAATGGCTGTAAAAATGCTGTAAGATATTTGAAAAGTTTTGTGGAAGATGGAATACAAGGCAAGTTTATTCTGGTGCAAAAATATTTTTAAGAGTTTTACACTTACTTATTTGACAGGCCAACTGACATGGGATTGCACAAAGAGAGAGTGCTGGAGACTGCACGCAAGAAAGAAAAACTGGTACATGGGCTTCAAAAACCTTAGCACCACAGGAAACTAATCTTTAAATTCCATCGCCTAGGAATTCTCTGAAGTTCAACAACATCCATTACCTATACCAAAAAGCAAATGGTATTGCAGACTCACTCAAATTGTAATTCAAGAATATATGTGTGTGTGTGTGTGTGTGTGTGTGTGTGTGTGTGTATTCAATGTAACAAAGCAACTGGACATTTTTTGTCTAGATGACAGATCTGAACACAGTTGCTAAAAACTGCATGCCAACCTGCAAGGAGACATCACCAAATAATGCGATACTATAAAGGCAAATTATGATTCTTCTGTGAGTCTGATATGCACAGGAACCAAAACAAAGCACAACTTTGAACACAGTGGAAAAAAACAGGCTAGTATGGTCTGAACTGACCATGACAAGACGATAAATCTTCAAATACGTAAATAGTAACGTGTTTCAGGTAGAAAATGTGTTGCTGCTGCACAGTCTGGAAAAGCACTGACAATTTTGTAACAAAACTCTTATAAGAAGCTAATTATGAAAACAAAAGCAAGATCACAAGAAAGGGAAGTTACGACATTATGCCACTGAACTTATATATGCAAAAAAGATATCCTCCAGTCACTGATTGTTTACTTACTCAAGTTACAGAAGAACACTGACATTCTTAATTCCAAAGAATGTATTAGAGAAGAAGTAGCAGTGATTTGTGCAGCAAATTAGTTGTATTTCTGAAAAGTTCCTTTGCTAGGAAAAATATATTTATTGCACAAAGTTTTAATGTCCATTTCAATTTACAAAATTGATTTTCTAAAATAGATACTTGAGAAAAAAAGAAGCTTTTGTCTTGGTGTAGAAAACACAAAATCATTGTGAAGAGAGCAGAAGTAACTCCATTTATAATGAGCTTTGTAAATTTGCATTGAAGAGCAGCAAGTCACTGCATGACAGACTGATCAGGCAGGAAGAAGGCGGGCTGTAAATGTAAGCAGGAGGGAGGGACTCACAGGAATGATCACAGTCATGAATATCTGAATTGGTTGACTTTATGCATACATATATGAATGTATAAAATGACCCTTGATTTTTAAACAAAACTAGTTTTAACAAGATTTCTTGACATGTATGTCTTTCCATCTTACCTTGCCATACTTCTGTGCATAAGACCCTGTGAGCAGTGAGTGAAAAACAATGATGGTTTCATCCAAGTCCCAGACAAAAACGCGCTAGAGACAAAACAAAAATTATTATAAAAAGACGAAGTTTAAGGAACAGAAACTTATTTGCAAGATAAAAATTATCTTCCATTTTTATTGGATACAATCTTGATACGATTTCACGGAGCGCTGTCTCAATTTGTTACTTGTTTTTTAAATTTAGCAAGTCTCCTGTAATACTGAAAAAAATTCTAATTCGAATGAATTTATTGAAACATTTACTTGTGGTTAATTTTAAAAAGATGATATATTTGGAATTTATGATTGAAGTATACTTGAAACTGTATTCTAAAATTATAACAGATTCACAAAGTTTTTTGATTTATGCAAATAAACATTTTCAAACTTACTTAAAAGGTTCAATGATTAACCCATATGTGGCAAGCACTAAACATGGAGCCTTGGTCAGATTAGACCAGATGATGTGTTAGTGGGTTTGCACAGAATTTTGAAAGATTTAAAGTCTTTCAAATATTTTTGAAATTCAACATTTTAAAATAGAGAGATGTCATGCAAAGTTGGGAATTCTGACAGGAACAGGGACCTGGGAACTGCGACAATGCTGACATTCTCATAGAACGGAGACAGGTGGATCACTCAGAGACAGTGTGTGTAACTTAGTCCTAACAGTCAGCTGGAGCTCTTCAGTTGGGCCATTCATTTGTGTCCCTCACCAATTTCTAAAAGCCATTTGAATTTGCTACTGCTCATTTGAAAAATATCACCTCCTGGGAAGTAAAATGTTTATTATTTGATTTTACCAACTCTGAGGTTTAACTTTTTCGTTGAAACAGGTTTTTGTAAGAAACAATATCTTGCTTAAAAAATAGCATCACATTCTATCTTATAATAAAAACCACCCTTGCTATTGTGGGTATGTCTCAAAAGAGGTTATGCTAGAAAAAAAGGAATACAGTTTTAAATCTCCATAAATACAAAAATATGAACACATATACCAAATACCTGAAACTGCTCTATGTTCAGGTGGCTCTTCCTCCCAAATAGAATGGCTTTAGCTTTCATGTATATTGATCAATTATTTTAACACTACCAAACATGATGTTTATCAGAAAATTGTTCCCTAAGCAGTGGTTATATATTTTAAATGTGTTTGCTCATATTTGGATCAAAAGATCCAATTCTTTCAAGCCCAGAGTTTGTGAAGTACCACTACTTTTTAGTTATTTTCTTATATTTTGCTTTTGAATAGATGGTTTCAATTTCCATAATTGTAAAATGATTGTGACAAGGGAGGACCACTCAACTCATATTGTGTCTTTTTTTTTTTTTCCAAGTTTGGAACTTACTGAACAGCAGGGTTAAGTATATCATCATGTTACATCCCCTGAGAGGAAACAGGCGTACCTCCAGGTCACTATCCGGAGGCGGGGAAGGATTATTTTTCCGGCCTCTTCCCCGGGACTTTGACCCAGAACCCCTACACGTTCTCTCATCCAGATCTTTGATAGGTGTGGAGGGACTCTGCACGGCATCAAACTCTCCTAGAAGTAAGGAAAATTGTGTCAATACTAGCACTTCAGTCAGTTGGGTATGAGTCTTCTGTAATGCTCATCTTCATAAATTCCTGCACAGCAGAAGCTATCTTATGATAAAACAAAGTTTTATTACACCAAACACATGAAATTCTGATTCAAACATTTTGTACGTCAAATTAAATCCTTCCTAGTATGGAACTGTATATTCTAATAAATCCGAATGTCTTTTATACTATACATAGTTTTAGCTTCCTGTCCCCTACTTACACATTTATGTACATTCAAATCTGTCCTTGCTTTAAAGAATCTTTTATAGCAATCTGAATTGTGCGTGAGAACAGGGTGTGGTAGAGCAAATATGATCCCATTTCCTAGTTCACTCTTCAACAGCATGTAAAGGCCGTGTCTGGGCCAAGGCATGACCAGGTGTTAGGAACTCAATCTAGATCCCACGCAAGCTTGGTGGAAAGAATCCAATCACTTGAGCATGACAGAGTGAGAAGCTGCAGTCAGGTATGGAACGCAAGCATGCTGAGGAAGGGATGTAGGCATCTTAAGTCCTGGGATGAATGCCTACCTTCCTTGCCTCCTTTCTGCCAAATTTCAAAGAATTCTGAAACTCCTAGATCAATCACATCCTTACACCTGTAAACATAAATCCCTAATCCTACAACTTAGAAAAATCATGCTCTGAGTTTAAAATCTTCCCTTCAAAATTGTTTATATGGTCACAATTACTACTCTCGTTATATTTCTTTTGGAACATCAACGGCCTACACTATTCCATTAACAATTTGCTTTTGAAAGAGAAGATAGCATACATATATAGATACAACAAACATTTCCAAAGAGAAGGGCTGTATACAACATGGACAATTACACTACTGTGTATCTGATTTACCAAAACGTAGCTTAAATTCCCCAAACCCTAAAGAGAGTAGCAAGGAAAATTCTGCTATTCAACTCAGCAGGCAATCAGTGGCGGTGAAGTAAGGAGGTGAAAAGAGCCCAAAGGAGAATGAAAAAAAAATCTGGTTTTGGAAAGTTTCTGTCATTCCACAAACAAAAACCTTCATGTATACTCACCCTTTGCAAGTTACTGAAGGATGTTAAAAAGGGTTCTAGGAATATGAACAAACTATGACAATGTTTTGATAGAGGTAAAACATCGTCATTTAAAAAATTGTGGGCAGTAGCTCCAGTTTTAATAGGTCCGTACCAGGAATCACACATTGCTCTTTTATTTTAAAAAAGTAATTGAATACATATGGTTAGCTTCATTCACTGTTCAAAGTGCCTATCAGATGATCCGTACAACAGCGCAGAGCAATTATCTTCTTTCCTTTACAAGTTAGAGATTCATCATGCGTGTGTATTGAGATTATTTTAATGTTACTAATTATAGTTGGGTTATTCAAAATTTTAGGCTATTAGGAATAAAGCTGCTATCTGTGTTATTGTACCTGTTTGTGAACAGGGGACCTACTCCTTTTGGGTAGCTTGATTCAGAAGTAGTACTTCAAGTGTGAAAGAAGGAATAATATAATTTTCAGAAAGAGACAGACATCTCCTATAGTTAATGTATTAACTTAATCTCCCATTACAAATGAGAGTTCTAGTTGATTCATATGCTTTCCAATACTTGATATTGTTCATCCACGTTTTTAAGATGTATTTGTTCAAAAGTTAGAGTTAGAAAGAGATAAATCTTTCATCTGATGGATCAATATCCAGATGGAGAGGGCATGGCCAGGTCAAAGTTGCGAGTCAGGGGGTACCACTGGGTCCCCTACGTTGCTAGCAGGGATCCAGTTACTTGGGCCATCTTTCATTGATTACCTAGGCCATTAACAGGGAGCTGGATCACAAGTGGAGCAGCTGTGACGTAAACCACTGCCCAAATGGGATACTGGCATAGTTGGGAGCCGGCTATACCTGCTGTGCTACCATGCAGGCTCCTGCTCATCACTTTTATTTTGGCCATTGTATATTGAAATTTCATGGATTGATTAACATTTTCTTGATGAATTATCTATGGAAGAAAACTTTTTATGTATTTCTTGACCACTGATGTCTTGTGAAAGTTTTTGTCTTTTAACAAACTGGATTGTCTTTTTTTTATTATTGATTTATTGGAATTCTTCAATGGAAAAACTATGTAATTCAAACCTCACTGTAATCCAGAGAGGTAATCCATCATAATAACGTCTGTTAATATGGGGGAGAGGGAACGCAATGCTTAACTAATTTGCCAAAATTAAATAGCTTGTATGTGGCAATACTTTCACGATTTAAGACCTTTTGATTCTGAACCCCCGTGTCTCCATCCTCACCCAAATGGTAATAGACTCTGCATGTTACAAAAGGATCAAACTTAAATCCACTTCCACTGATCAAAAACATTACACAATAACCTATTGCAACGAAAAAAAAAGTATTTGCAAACTGTACATCTGAAAAGAGATTAAGGTTCAAATTATATAAGCCATAGTTGCAGCTCAATAACATAAGAACTGAACAAATAATCTAAAAATACATATTTCAAAAGAAAATATTCGAATCACCATTTACATGAAAAATACTCAACATCACCAATTGTGAGAGAAATAGGAATTACGGTAACAGTGCAATATCACTTTACACTTAATAGAATAATTGTTATCAAAGGGAAGAAAGATAACAAACATTGGCGAGGATATGAAAAAAAAAAAACCTTACACACTATTGGTGAGATTCTAAATCAGTATAGCCATTGTAGACAAGAGCATGAAGATGCTTCAAAGAATCAAAAATGGAAGTATTCAGCAATGGGAATACTGACCAAAGAACTGAAATCAGTGTGATGAAACAGATTTCCGTGCTCTCATATGTATTTCAGCTTATTTACATAGGTAAGATATGGGTTCAATGTAAATGCTTATCAAAGAATAAATGAATCAATGGATAAAATACACACACGCAAAGGAATGCAAGAATGAAATTCAGCATTTAAGTAGGAAATATGCTCATTTAGGATAACCATCGAGAAGGTGGGCACTGTGGTAAGCAAAGTAAACCAGGCACAGAATGACAAATACTATATGGTCTCACTATCATACTGAATCTGAAAAATGTGAATTTAGAGAATTGCAGAGTAGAAAGGGATGACCAGGGAGTGTGGCAGAATGGAGAGTGATTGGGAAGATTTTGGTGAAAGAATACAAAACTTCAGTTAAGTGACAGAAATCAGAGAACTATTTTAACACAGCTACAGTTAATAACAGTGTTTTTTGTCCTTGAAAACTACTATAAAACATTATAAGTGTTCTCACCATAAAAATAAGTAGGTGAGATCAGTTCTATGTTAGCTTGCTTCAGGCATTTTACCATCCATGTGTACATATTTTGAGGCACGTTGTATATTATCATTACATCCAATTTCCTATAAGTCAGCTTAGAAAAACTAAATAAAAGAGTCATTGAAAGATCTTCATAGAGGGAAAGGGCACTGTGTTATAAAGGGCACCAGGGCTCTGGGTTCCTGTGGTGATCACATTTTGATGGTGCTCTCTTGTTCGTGTAAAATTATGAACTTGAGCTCAGCTGGTCATGAAACATTTGTTGGTGTTTTTTTTTTTTTTAAGCTGTCTGTTCCACTGTTCCAGCCCAATGTGACGGAGGCAGCTAGTTGCAGGAACACACAGTGACGGCATGGGTAGACACCATGTGGTCTGTCGTCTCATTTAGGTTCTTTCGCTCAGTAAGACGGGTAGCAGTTTGCTTCCCTTTCTCTCTTCATAGGAAATACAGCATTCTATGAGACGATGGCTGTGTTCTGTCTAAGCATCTGGCTTCCTTTCAGAATGAGCAGCGAACTCACTGTTTCTTTTACTTTTCTGGAGCATTTGTTAATTTGTTAGCTAATGTACAGCAATCTAAAGTCTCAAGACAAAGGATAATATTGTCACAAGTGACTAATTTTATCAATGTTTTAACTATTCAAAAAGAAGACATAAAAACGTACCTCAAGTTCTTGTGCTACAATCTCTCCTCAAACTTTCTGAATGCACATCAAAAATATAATTTACCTAAGACAAACGTAACGCTAAAGGCAAAGAAAGATCTTTATAAAGATAAGGAACTAAAATGTCTGTTCTTAATCAACACAGTAGTGTTTCTTTAACTTCACTGTCAAACTGACTAATAAGGTAAAGTAAATAACTGAATGCTATTTGCAATTTCCAAATAACATCAGTCATTACCAATTGCCCTGGGCTTTTGCTGAGCCATGGTACACAAAGACTGAGTAATTATCCTTTAATCAGAGCAGTAATGAATAACTGCCCCTTGTAAGTTTTAGATATTCGAATCCAACTATATTTCATTAAGCTTAATCGCTAAATCAGAAGAACCAGCTGTCCTTTATTGAATATAACGTATGTTTCTGTTTTTGAAATGGAGCTCAATAGTGAATGTTCTATGAAAAACTAGATTGTTGCGTCTCTGTCGTAAGTCCAAAATGCAGAATCAGTCAATGGGAAACTTTTTTTTTTTTTTTTTTTTTGCTTTTGGACTAAGTACATCAGATTTCATCAATGTAAAAAAAAAAAAGGAAAAGAAAAGTTTCATACTTATCAATTAGCTTGCATTTTGGAAACATGCCAGATTTGAAAAGACAAAAATCAAATTTTAAGCTAGAATTTGGAGTCGCAGAACTCCTGAAAATTTCAAATGTGTGTTTTTGTGATTTGGGTTGAAAGAATAAAGTGACAAGTAAAAAAAATCATTTTTAGAATTTGACAAAATCCTAACAAAATCTGAAAATTGTGTCAAAGCATATTCGCTGGCATTAGCAGCCAACGGAAGCTTGAGGAAAAGACAACATTCTGATACTGAATACAGTGATACTGATTATTCCTTATTTAATGAAAAGTAGTCATCTCCATCTTTTCCACAGAGAATTCAAAGCACAATCAGCCTTTCATTCAAAGCTCCACACAGCATATATTTAAACATCATTCATTGCAACTGTAAATTCAAAACACCCTGCTCTTGCTTTTCAGTCTTCGATACCTTGATGATGAAATGCTTCAAGGTTATTTTAATATAGTCATCCTTCCTTGTTTTCCTCATAGCTGACCAGTAAGAAAAATTTTACACAGTGCAATCTTTTTATGTCAAAGACATCCTTACCTAAAGTCTTAGCAATACTTATACAAAAATGACCCTAAAGTCCCTCACTGATTAAACTGGGGTAAGAGTCTCAATGAAATTAAATTATTGTGTCAAGGATCAGGGCAGACTAGCGATACACGCTTTTTGCTGGGGTAAGGTTAATGTAAGAGAGATGATTTAGGGCACAACAAAGAAGGATCTTGAGAATGAGGGTCTCCTTACATTTTGTACTTTAGGTGTCTCATTCCCCTTGTTCTTTTCTTTGTACTATCCAAGCTACATGGTGAGGCTAGGTGAGACATCTGAACAGCAGGCAGGAGGCAAAGGCAAGATATTCAAAGGAGCTATGTGTTCACCAGAGAAAGAATTTAAAAGGAAAGTAAATTAAATCAAGAAGAAATGTTGAGGAACCAAAGACAAACTATACCTACCATACAAAGTTTCCTTGGGTTCATAATTAGTTTATAGATAACACCCTTGGCATTGTGCTAATTCATGATACAAGCTGTTGCTTAAAGTATCATCCCCAGTGTCACTTGTTTACATCTGAATCAGGTTACTTAAAATATTCTACAATATCTAGAATTTTCCAACTGCTTTTGTAATGAATTGATTTTTGTCTTTATTACCTTTAAAAAATATTTATTAGAGAGAGAAAGAGAAGAAAGAGAATGTGAGATCTTCTATCTGTTGGTTCCCTCCCCAAATGGCCACAATGGTTGGAACTGGACCAGTATAAAGTCAAGAGCAGTCATTTCTTCCACATGGTCGCAGGAGCTCTAGCCCATGGATGATCATCTACTGCGTTCCCAGGCACATAGCAGGGAGCTGGGCTGGAAGTAGAGCAGCTGAGACTCAAGTTAGCTTTACCTGCCATGTCAAAAGTGTTCGCCCTATCTTCTTTACTAAATGGAAGTAAATGTTTGCAAAAAGAGTATTCACAGCTGATTGGCCTGTTTCCAGTGCGGGGTTAATGCCTAACAGGCATTCCATAAATAATTAATCACTGACATTGAAATAGTATGGTTCTTCTGGAGCAATGAGAAAAATTTGCACAATATAATCATGTTCCTCAATTTTCTTGACCTTCCAAAGCTGAATTAAAAGAGATGAGATTGGATCTTGCAAATAACCAAAGGAAAAAAAATACACAGAAAACACTAATTATATTTTTGAAAATTCTTAATATTTTTCTCACATTTTTTGAGAGTTCTTCCATATTCTCAAGTCAAATCCTCTACTAGGTTTGTGCTTTGCACATATTTTCTCCCATTTATGGCTGTGTTGCGCTTGTAATAGTGCCTTCAAAGAGCAGACATTCTTGATATTATGAAATATAATTTATTTTTATGAATTATGTTTTTGGTGTATCTATAAAATATTTCCATTCCTAAGGTCAAAAAAAATTTCCTCCTTGCTTTCTTTAAGAGGTTTTACAGGTTGGCTTTACAAGTGGGTTGCTGATCCATTTTGAATTATTCTTTATGCAGGAGTTAAAAGTTAATATTTCTTTTTCATTTGTATATAGCTGTATAGATTTTTCCAGTACCATTTGTCAAAATGACTACTCATTCCCCATTCACTTGTCTTTTTACCTTTGTCAGAAATTAATTTCCCCTTACATGTGTGAGCCTATTTCTGGATTCTTTATTCTGTTCCATTGCTCTTTCCTTTCACCAACAATATACTTAACTAATATACATTCTTCTGTGCTGATATTACGAAGGGTGAGTCATCCAAATTCTCATTGTTCAATTTTTTTTCAGCTATCCTAACTTCTTTGCATTTCTTTGTATTTTTAGAACCCTGTAAGTAATTTCTCAAAAAGGTATTGAATTTTGAGATTTGCTGCATCTATATTAAACTTCCTTTTAACCTGAACAGTGCCGAACACAATTCCAATAAGAAGAGAATAAACTTCAGATATTGAATAATAATATGGGATTTTAACACTAGGGCCACTAATTCAACAAAGCCTGGTAATTTAGGAAATGGTCACACAGGTTAAATGGATTATGCAGTTTCTCTGGCATGAAGAAATTGTACCAGTCTTGGTTGTCAAATTTTTCAAAAAATAAGTCTGACAGAAGATCAATTCACCTTTTTACAATCAGATAGATACATTCAGTCAATTTGAGGTGAAAAACTCCAATCCCTTCTCACATGAAGGCTTTGTAGGTAGATTCCAGAGGAGTCTCATGTTACATTGTGTTATCAACTCAGAGTTCACATCAGTGCATTTATCTGGGGGCTTTCTGTCATTTTTTAGAGTGTTTGCTTCACTCAGTCTGAATTGCTTCAAAACATACACATGTCTTTCACCCAAGTGTAGATCTGTACCTGGTTGACTGGTCAGTCCTGGAAGGGATTCCTGCAACTGATACGTTGAGGTCGACGACGGTGTTCCATCAGCTGTGTTATTGGATGCCATGTAAGCTCCATATGTAGATGCTGAGTAATACTGGGCATACTGGTTTTGGCCAAAGGCTGTGTAGGATGGATAATCCTGAAACAAATAATTGAAATGGTTATGTTTCAAAGAGAAATTACTCTTTGGCATTTCCTAAAGAAAAACAGTCATTATACAGTTCATAGCTGAGGAATTAGCATTTGATTATATAGCATCAAGTCCACAGTTTTGAGATGATCCTAAGAACACATATTGCTAGATAGGTATATCTCTTTTTGCTTTTAATTTATTCAGAAGTAGACAAAGACATTCACAAAGAAGAAAGCAATGAGGTTGAACAAGGGAGACAGCCCTTATCTTTTGCTCCACTCCCCAAATTCTGCCTTGGCTGTTGGGCACTGGAAGGAGGCTGACAAAGCTGGGAGCTAGGGACTTAATCCAGCCCCCTCACACGAGTGCCAGGCATCTACCTGCTTGAGCCATAACCCTTGTCCCTCAGAGTTTGCACTGGTAGGAAACTGGAATCAGGAGGCAAAGTTGGGTATTGAACTCAGGCACTCTGATAAGGACACAGGTGGAATCTTAGGTGCTAGGTGAAATATCCATCTTTGTGGGAATCTTTTATATATGCATGGTAAGTAACCACCCTTTTGATTTTTGTCCACTAGAAATGAAAATTTACAAGATATTTGTATACTTTTTTTAAAAAAGACTTTTATTTAGTTGAAAGTCAAAATTACAGAGAAAGAAGAAGAAAAGGACGAGGAGGTGGAGGAGAACAGAAAGCGAGAGGGAACCTTTTATTGCTTGTCCACTCCCCAGATCCTTCAATGACCACAGGAAGGCCAGCATCAAGCCAGGAACCAATGGCTTAATCTGGTCTCTGACAGCCATGGCAAAGGTCCGAGCACTTAGGCCATGCTATTCTACATTTTTCCAAGCCAATACTAGGGAGCTGGATCAGAAGTGGAGCAACAGAGATACAAACTTGCACCCATGGCTGATACAGTTTTTCTCATTGTGCAACAATGCAAGTCCCAAACTTTGCATATTTTAATGTTGTTTTCTAAAGTTTTACCTATCAAAGGGTTTTTTTTCTCACAACCTACACACTTACGGTAGAAAAGAGTTAGAGTCAGTTCTTGCACATCTACCAGCATTACAAACAGGGAGCAGCTGTGACTACCCCTGCTAGCTTCCATGTAGACTGCAACCTGCATTTTTGTGACTTTTGTTGCCCTCCCAAGCTACCCTCAATATTTTTGTTTTCTCTGCAGGAGGTAGAGAATAAAATAAGATGACTAAGAGGTTTCCTTCACTATTCTGTCATCAAATATGCACCACCTGAGACTTCGACTTAAAGTCTTTAGTGAAGTGTTCAAACATTTGGCTTCCTTCTTTTGTCACAGGAAAAACTGAAAATACTGGACCAATCCCACTGAAATGCTTTTTATTTAAAAATCCCTTAAGAATTGAAGGATGATAAATGATCCTCCCAAATCCTTTCACACATGAAGTGCTGGGTCAGGGTCACGTTCCGTTGTGATGACTGATGTTTAATATCTAGCATGTTTTAGCCCCAGTATTACCAGCAGTCACAAATGCTGGGTCAGAACTAACACCCTTTGAAGTGACATGATCTGAAGGTAACAAAGATCCATGTATGATACTGTTTCTAAAAAGCAAATTGTCTGTATAAATTACTGTTTTCATTATCAAGATCAACTTTTCCACTAGCACCTATGAACCCCCCAAAAGTCTAATCAATATTTTATTAAAGTGTCTAACAGCACATCTTTCTAAATAAAACAATGAGAGCTAACACAGGGTGTCAAGGCAGTGTTCTATTAAACCGGTTTACCATCTAATCCTGACGACTTTCTAGGTGGTATTTTTTATTTATGCCTTAGATGGAAGGAGACCTTGGCATCAAGGGCTAAATGATTTGCACAAGTGGCACAGCTAAATCTCAAGGTGGGATTTGGACACAGAGTCTGCTTCTTGCATCCATATGCTGAAGCTGTTAACCTGCTAATGTCCTTGCAGGATAAGAAAAGCTCATGCTGGGAAGAAAGACAAACAAACAAACAACAACAACAACAAAACAAAGCAAGAACAGTTTTTGAACTACTTTCATGTCCTATCACAGCCAATATATTCATTTTCTAATTTGTCTTCTTGTTTCCATTTTTGCACTTCTTCAAAGATGCTGAAGTTAGAGTAAATATGTTCTAAACATAAATTACATGATGTGATTCTGCTGTGATCTGCAGCAGTTTCCAATGTGTTTGGAAGAGAATCCAGATTCTTTACTGCAAGCTATAAGGCATGCTGTGAGCTGACTCTACCTTACCTCTGTAAATGTGGTTTCCCAAGTTCCCATGCACTAACCACCAGCAATTGTGACCCCAACACCACCCTTAGGGTTCCACCTTTCAGAACTGTGGTGCGTGTCACTTTCTTTACCTGAAACAGTTTTTTCCCGTGTTCATCACCTAATTAGTAAAAACACTGCCATCAACGTGCTTCCCCTGGTATGGCCTTCCACAAAACCTCCCAGCCTCAAAATTCAATTTCTATCATTATTTGAACAGGGTTCTGTTCTCGCTCTTCACACTTTCTAGTTGCCTCTCTCATTGTGCATTTTCTGGTTTATTGTCTCTCAGCATGCTTCAAGCTCTGTGACATGGGACTCAGAACTCATCCACCATCCACTTCATACCTTCATACCCTCCATTATTGACAACATATATTTTATAAAAAAAATAGATTTGTTCTCAGATCATGATCCAAAATAAGAATTGTATTTTATGCCACACCTACTGTATCCAGGTAGAATTGAATATTGAGTCAATATTTAAAAATAAATTGTCTTCTCTGCTATTAATCTATTCGTAATCTCTGAAAGTACTGAAGTAGTGATTTTTGGATCAGTTTGCATGATGTGTATTTACGTGATTAAGTTTATTAGATCTAGTCATTGTCCAAAGGTCTTGGTCTTCTAGGGAACAGGGACCAATGAATAATTTCAGCTCAATGCCATAAAAAAATACTATTCCCTATTATTTTAGTAATCAGTGTTTCCTCTTTGCCTTCTGTCATTTTAATAAAACTAAATTAAAGAAATAGATGAAATCCTTTTAATAAATCCAAATAATCACTTGTGTAGTAACTTACATTTTAGAATGCATAACAATAGTCTAGTAATCATGTTAAAATATTCAATCTCAATGACTGAGCATGATGGCATATCAGGAAATAACAACACATTAATCTGAAGTATTAACTTATATCACAAATTCATTTCATTTTGAGATGATTAATTTATTCGTGGGCACTCATGTTCCACAAAGAACTCTAATAAGCTGTATTCTGAAACTCACAAGAACACAATTAGAAGGAAAATTAATGACTACTCATGCAGGGACACAGCGACAAAGGCACAAAACAGCAGCCATGAAGATAGCAGGAATCAAACATTTATTAAAACAAGCAACATGGATAAAACATTTTTAAACTTTTTAAAAGAGCCAAATAGTAGTTCTAAAGTAAGTTGTTCAATATCAATTTGTTTTAAATTGAAATGTAATATGGTCTGACATAGAATTCTAACAATCAACTATAGCCCAATCTGTTGATTTTCATATTATAATAACCATGTTTATCAAGAAAAAAATGTGTAGTTGACTTTAAGATGAAATGGAGGCATACAATACAGTTCTTAATTCCATTCCAAACAATAAGTTTAGCGGAAACATTCATCAAGTTGTAATTATCAAAAAGTCTAAAAATCCATATCAATATATCCAAAGAACTACAGAGAGCTAACATTATTATCTTGAAGCACTATATTAATTTTCAGTGAAGAAATCACATTCTTAGAAGTATACATGTGTATGATAACTTGTCTTCAAAAATCAAAAATTGCATAAAATTGACATAAAAATACAAACACAGAAGCAACTATACCTGCTGTGAACCACTAAAATTCGTTGAATTGGAAACTGAATTGTTTGCATAGATAGTAGATGATGGTGCAAAACTGGAACCTAGAGATAAGAAAAAAAATAAAATCATGTTTTAAACTTACTCATTGTAAAGTGATGAAAAGAATTCATTTTGAAGAATTCTGTGAGAAATATATTTGCATTTTGTTACAAAGCAGTGAAATTTGAGTTGAGAAAAGATTTAGGAAAACGTGCTTGGTGCAATCCCTCTTGTGACAGCTGGTAAAGCATTTGCTATAGCTATTGTCCTTAAACAGGAATAAGTGGGGACAGTCTCCACAAGGCATGTGGTTAACAGTCAAGGATGGCATTTATGTAAGTGCAGGGTAATCAAATAAATATTACGTATTCTGACACTGCTTCCAGGAAGTTACTAGAAATTTCATATCCCCACATATACTATATGCATTAATTTGAGTTTAATATTTAGATGGGGTTAGTACTGTAGGAAATATACATTTAGGATGTACTTAGAACAAAGCTCAAAGTGCTCTGCCTTTTGCTTTCTCGTGCCTTTTCTAAAAACAAAAGTAGCTGTGATTTATTACTTAGACTTCATTTTGAGAGTCTTCTACAACTTTATATCAAGGTCTTAAATTGATGCTTTTTTTTTTTTTTACCAAGTTTGGGCAAAATCAAGTGAACTCTCAATGACAGAGTCTTAAGGAAAAAAAAGTGTTCTAACGGAATGTACTAGTCAAGCAGTAACACTATTAAAGCAACTGAGCACCTTCTATAAATATTCTTTTATTATCCATATATTGAGTATCAATGCAATTGATCTGGCCAACAGAAAATAATTTGAGGATGAAACAAAATTGTTCCTGTACTCTCTGGCAGCCTACTAACTTAGTTCTATGGCTCATGGTGGCCAGGGCATATGTGCAAATATGTTTAAAACTACAGTCCAAGCAAAAAAAAAATAAAGAACGAGAGAGAGAGACTTGTTCTTCCAGCCAAAATATCTAAGTATTATTTGTTTCAATTGGCTAATGTGTCAACATTATTTGATGTAAATATATTAACACAATCTCAGATTTATGACTAATAATACAGAGGAAATGACACATAAAAACTAACTTTCAATGTTTCTCTTGCTAACAAAAATTTTGGTTGCAATCATGATACAAATACAAAATGTAATTATTTAAATAAGTGTCAAAAACTTCAAAGCTAAAAGATGATCCCCATGGAATACTGGAGGAGTACAAGTTGTATAGACAGTTATATTTAGAAAAATCGCATCAATAAATGATAGGTATTTTAGGAATGACCAAAAAATCCTCAATCACTCCATGATAAACAGAATTTAAAATAGTGCTAATTCTTTTTAAAATATAATCAAAATAGCAATATGCACGTAAGAAATACCAAAAAGAAAGCACTGGTTTGTGCTATGAATCTTTTAAATCGCTTAAGTCGACACCAAACGTGTGACTAACCTGGTGGTTGGCTAGGAGTTTGCTTTGCTTGGCCTCAGTTTCCTACCAATGTAATGCTGCTTAAACTTAAGTATTTACATTAGGTGTGGGTCATGTTTCTTGATGTATATTCAACTGTTTTCATCATGTTACTGCCCAGTTATTTTTCTTTACTCAAGAAACTGTGTGAAGCAGTGGTAAAAACTGGTTTCATGACCGGCTATTCCCAGTCTGAAGCCAAGGAGTCTTACACAAATAATTAGTTCTCACAAAATCATTTCACGTGCAGCTACTTACCTGGCATTTGGTAAGAATACGGCGTCTGGCCCGGCTGTGGGGTAGAGAACCCGGGGCTGTAACTTAGGCAGCCACTCTGCAATGGAGACTGAGTTTGGGAAAGTCCACTCTCTGTTTTGATGGCGGGCAACATCACACCCAAATCTGTTTAGAAAATGCACAGAATATAAAAACTACTAGAACTACTAGCCAGTAGGATTACCTGCTTAAAATCAAAGAAAGGAGAAGAGAAGATGTGAAATACCGTAAGTGGGAAGGCTGTAGGGCTGTCCAGTCTGCGAGTAGGCTGTGTAGACAGTTGTCTGTTGCATCCCGGAATATTGAGTCTGGCCTGCATAGGCAGACATTGTTTGAGCTGCTGGTGTAGAAAGAATGTGTGGATAGGGCCTAAATATCAGAAAAATAGCATTACTGTGGCAACAAAGACTGCATATGAATTCAGACAGCTTAGATTTACTGAAGTTCTAATACTGCCCAGGAAGCAATCCTCCTCCACTCCCACAGTACAGTTTGGACAGTGTAGGGAAGACCATGAGTTCCAACAGCAGGAGAGCAGGCTCGGCTACCAACAAGTCTATCAACCTTGACGAAATCACCGAAACTGCATGTATCTATACCTTCTCTGTACAATGAGAAATTTACTTTGAAAGTTCTATCTGAAGTATCTCCTCTAAATATTCCTACTTATATCTGAACTTGTAAATGTTAAAATATAGTCCACATCAGTAAATTTCTACCCTCTTGAGCACAAGACCAAGCACATTCACTAGGAGAAATCCCCTGCTTCCAAGTGACTAAAGAAGTCTACCAAAAAGCCTTGCAACTGGAAATCTTAACAGACAAAGGCATAAACAAAAAAAAATCCGGGGTTACCCGTATTCCTGGGATATAATGGAATACCATTTCCTATACAATGAAGCTCCCTTTCACACGGAGTTGCTCCTGGCCATTAGTCCTAACGATATACTTCAGGACACTGGATGTTGTACAACATAACCTACTATCTTTACGTGCATATGTGGTAGGAGTCATACATCTTGGAGCATATGGCTGATTCCAAATAAATTCAGACAGAAACTCAATGTAGCTAAGTGTGAAAGTTCACAACCATCCTCAGTAAGGTAGTTTACACATTAGGTATGAAAACACTAAAACATATTCTACAAAAATGTGTTTCTTAGAATGTGAAGTCCAATAAAAATATTCCTAAGATGCCATGAAACATGAAGTGTGAGTGTCGTATAAGATACAATTTTTTTTAGATTCAAAGCAGTCAGTATTTTATTTTTTTTAAATAAAATAATTTTTTAAAAAAAAAAATAAAATATATTCAGGTACAAACCTGAAACTTTCCTCAAGATATAAACATTTAGAATGAATGGGGGAAAAAAGTTGGTATTTCTAACCTTTTGAAGATATTCAGCCACATGAATGCTCTATCTAAATCCTATGTATCCAATGATATGATAGATACATTTATGTAATCACATGTTGATGCATATTTAAAGCTCATATATTATGTGAATATACATTAGTGAATATAAATCTGGAAATTTTTTTCCAACAAATCTGAATCTACAGGTACTTACTTGGAAGGATACAGCTGTGGGGAATACTGGTGTGCTGATCTGGGGCTGTAGCCACTACTAGTTATGACTGCAAGACACAAACAAACCAGTGCACAAACACTGCTTTACCAATCTATTTGACCGCAGTGCATATAACCGCTTTGAAGACATGATAATGCTGTATACGTTTTGAAAGCCATTCATTTTAAAAAAGAAGTTCACTTTTCCAGAATGTGTTTTCTAAAGAGCAGCAGCTGCCTGAGCACTTTCTCTTATGTCAACTACTTCAAAATTTGTTCTAAGAACATGTAATGAACATTCCTCTCAGCAAACATCTGTTGCTCCTCAGTTCTCTAAAAAGCGATAGCATGCTCTCAAGTGTAAATTACACTGTGAATAAACGTATTTGTGTATAAGGTAATTAAGGTTTTATGATACAGTAAGATTTTTAGAGTTTACAACCTTTAAACAACTGAAACCTCTACATTTAAAGATTATTTTAAATATTCTGGCACCATAAATTGGTCGTTTTCCATATTTAATATAAATCTGACGTTTCATCCTTCAATTTCTGATTGCAAATGCTGTTATTTTCTAGTTCCCTTCATTTTGCAATCAGATGACTAGTTAAAAGTGTAGAATCAAAAATATTATAGTAACAGCATATACCTAGAAAGTTACAGATGCTAACGAAACACTTTTCAAAACATAATTAAAAAAATGCAGTGGCAATCACATTTACAAATATATTTGGAACTATCAGTGATAAAACTGTTCTAAGAATTTAAGAGTGAAAAACATAGCCTATTCATATTTCACCTAAACATGCAGCTCTAAACTGGACTATTTCCAAAAACCTGGAAATTTTTCATACTTTTGACTATCTGCATTGACCAAGACAAATGTATTGCAAATATATGGACTCTTATGTGTTGAGTCAATCCCTTCAGAGCTAATCCATACTGGGTGAGCACACAGAGTGTCTTTATTAAGCCATCTGCTGTTCATTCACTTTTCAAAAAGATTATAGTACACAAGGCAGTGCTGGAGTTAGTTTAGTCTAATCCATCATAGTTACACTTCAAAGTAGGATGACCTTTCTAAGTTGTTCAGAGTAATTCTGGAGCTAAACTGCTAGAATTATAAAAGTGACAAATAGGTTTGGGTTGCTAACTATTTTGTGAAGCATGATGTATTTCTGTACCCAAATGATATTAAATACCCTTGAGATCTGCCGCTTCATAAATGCAGATTTAATGTGCTTAAAATACGATTTTGTCTAAAAGAACCAAGTGTGAAAATTATACTTATAGTTTCCACAATTGTGAGGTAAATATATATTCAAAAATATGATATTAGCCAAGTCAGAAAATTATCAAATATGACTACAAGTGTTATGGTCTAAACATTTTCAAGAATCAAAATTAAAATGAATTCATTTTATATGTAAAGTATTTCAAAAATTAAAGATAAGTTCATTTAGTCACAAAGCAGTTTCAAAATTAATACACAGTTTTTCTTATTTGCAATTTCATTTTTAAAGCCCATGTAGAACTGAAAACAAATTAACCATGAAACCATTCATTTTCTACTTCAATTTTAAAAACTTAATGTTTGAAACTTTCAGGTTAACTTAATGGGACTGGACTCTACCAAACAGGATTAAGGCAGCATTGTGCAGCAATGGTGTCATTTCTTGAAAAATTCACGTTCATTTATTACTCTCTGAAAGTGAATACTCTGTTTTGGCAAAATACAATTAAGTAAGGTTCAATTCCAAGTTGTTTTGCCTCTTTCTCTTTTTAACTGGAATTTCATCTTTGTACACTTAAGATTTCAGTTATAAATATCACTCAGTTATTTGCATGTTCATAAAAAACACAAATTCTTCAAGGAGACACATCAAACTATGAAAAGAAGCATTAAGCAGAGAGGCCTACTTGAATAAAGAACAAGAGTATATATTCAGAGTAAAACGAATACACAAACGCAATTCTAAATAATATGGTATTCTTTCTCCCTCTAATGAATGAACTTACAACATTAGAAGAATTAGCTCATCATACTATTGGGGATCTATTACCATTTAAAATTTCAGATTAATGGCTAAATTTAACTTTTTACATGGACTCAAACATCTTTGCCCCAGAAATGAAAGTTATCCACATAAGAAATAAAAAGCACAGTTAATGCTTCTTCAGTAAAATCTAATAATATTCTAACTCAGAAACTTAAGTAATGAATAACAATGACAAAACTGGCTTTAAGTGAGTTTTGATTATGCTAATCAAATCAAAATTCTCCTTACAATGATACTGCACCCTGTATCTGGGAAACCTTTGATTGATTTCCAGTTGTCATCCAATTAACCAGTTAACACACACACCCAGTGTACTTCATCGCTTCTGAACACAAAAATACGCAAAACCTCTTCTCTTCAAAATGTCTCTAAATTCAATTAAAATGAATTTTGAATTTGACACAGTTCAAAGAGAAACAATGTGGTGGTGAAAATTTTGTTTACCAGGAGGCATTTAAATGTCTGGAGATATTTTTGTAGCAATTGAAGAAGCTATTGGCATTTTGGGGTAGAGATTAAGACATTTTACAGTGCAGACAATACCTCCCTAACAGTATTGAATTATCAATCTTATTAATAGTACTACTGAGCATCCCTGTTGTTGGCCATTATTGATCATCACAACTTTCTAAGGTGTTGAAAAATATTCCATAACTGAGTTGTGCTAACCAAAAGCATCTATTAAACACTGCAATTGTGGTTGTTATTATGATTAAAAAGAAAATTATGAATTTTATCAAATGTCAATTTGAGTTTAAAAAGCTATTTCTCGCTATTGGCTACTTTATTGAGTTGCACAGGCTTTAGAGAGTTCTTAAAAGAAACAAGAAAATGTCCTTAAAGATAATGAGTGAATTTTAACAGGAAGATTGTTCAGGTGTATTTCTTATCTCATCTTCATGTTTTCAGATGCAGTATTTTAGAAAAAAACCCAGTGACTAGATTCTAGATTTAGTGACCAGTTGTGAGGTCTGAATGGCGTGACTGTAACAACCTCTCCTCTGTTTATCTTGAAATTCTTGTCTTTAAAATGGATCAGACAGCTCTGAATGAAATTGATTAGCAGTAAACATTTTATAGTTTTGTTGTTCAGTTTGCCTAAAGGTTTTGATGGCTGGGAGTGCACTATTGAAGTATGTCAGCAATTCATTCATAATTCTGTTTCTCCTTAAAACGTTGTTCTCATACATTGACTTCGCAGGAAATGGACAAGTCACAGTTAATGGGCAATGGCGGAACAGTAATACTGGTATCTATCCACCTTTTGGAAGACAGGTGAAGTATTACAAAGTGTGTGAATTGGCACATACGATTCTCCACACATTTTACATACTGCTATTCATTTCCATTGCAGTACTAACATTTATGTGAGTTCATGGCAATAGCTTTCTATTACTTTGAGGTAATAAAACTAAATCATCTGTATCTTTAAAGAAACCAAATACATGTCATAATGGCATCATTCTCAAAGTGATACCCCAACTGGCTTCACATAAAACCCTTGCATGGGGGAGCAAGGAGAAATGCAGACTATTCTGCAGAACCAAGATTAATTGCCATAAATGCTTCTGTAAGTTTAATGTTCATCCTTCTCTTACACATTCCTTCTCAGGTTTAAAAGAAAAAAAAATTTCACCAAGTAATATGCCAAGGAAAATACTGCAGCTTAAAAAGAAAACAAAACAAAAAAAACACTTTTACTAAGTGTTCTTAATTCATGCTCATGTGTCCAGCTGGGAGTTATCAGGTATTTATATTTTTAAAGGACTGATGTTTAAAGACAGGCCATTGTTCTCTTTGAAGCACAGGAGTGCTCTTAGAAGCTGGATTCTAATACAGCCAGCATGTGCTCCCCCTTAGCCCATTAACCTTTAATACATGTCATTCAGCTGCTTACACAGGAGGAGTTCTTTAAACCCAGAGAGGAAATAAGCTTATTTCAAAAGAACCAAATGGATAGTTTTACATCTAGAATGCTGCACCAAAAGCAGCTTTAATGTAATTTACATGAACAAGTAGAAGGAACAAAGTCGGCTATTACAACCTAATTATTGAATTAATTAAACAGTGTATAAAACAATTACAGGGGAAGCCAACTCTGCTTATCTACAACAAGATAATCGTGGAACTGTTTTGCTGTCAGCTGGAAGAATGAGTCCAAACTTGATTTTTATTTTTAAAAAGGTATGGTTTTATGGCAAGTAGTTCTCCAAAAGGTGAATTTATTGCTACCTTTGTAGAATCTAGTGCTCTAACAGCTTTAGTGTTAGTGCAGCTTACTCATAAGGAGCAGACGTCTGTGGGCCCCGACGTGAATGTAAGGACACAGGAGCTAAAGGCTTTACCTGACCCAGTAAAAGTGTCAAGCGCTCCGTCTCCAGTCGTGGTCGTGGTTTCACTGCTGTTCAGGGGCTCTGTTTTGACTGCAAGAAGAGACACTACGTAGAAGAATAAGGACAAGTGAGTTTTACTTCTAAGTTTATATCAAAGACACTGACCTGCTAGTGATTTTTTAGCTACTGTGGGCATGCAAGAGAAAACTGGAGAAGTTGATGAGCACAGTTTGTTAATTTAGCTTCTAACTGGGCATGCATTTACAGAGGATTTAATCAAAATCCTCTTACTGAACTGGCTCTGTTTGGCTTTCAAAGGCAGTCAGCTTTAAAACGGGAAACAGCACTATACATTTTCAGTTTGAACTCACCTAATCACACTCTGGTACAGTCAATAGACAGAAAACAGAGTCAGTCTTCAGCACATTTAATTCAAGTCGTAACAAAAGAGATTGAGTAGCTTATATTTTATTTTTCCCAGAAGGTGCTTTTTAAAAAGTTATGATTTCCTAGAAGTATAACAAAATAAATGTAGGTCTATTCATGGCGTGGGTGCAAACACGGCACTCATTAAATATTCTACTCTTAAAAAGACTTAGGAACCATTACATGTTGGGGTTTGTATTTTAATAGCATAATTTTTGTTAATGTGCAACAAAGATAGGCTTATAATAAGAGACTACTTTGTATAGCCACGGTGTTGCTTTAAAAACACTTGTACTAACTCACAAACACTCCCAGGTGGTATATTATGTATAATACCCTCACTCGGCAATGAAGTAGCCTGGCATGCATTACTACGATTTGATACAAAAAGAAGAGGGACAATGACAAACCCTCCACTCATTTGATCACACCATATTTTCTTTCCCTTTGTTGACAATACCCTACTACACATATCACAATAACAAGGGAATAAGCTGTTACTTTCTATTTAACACCTCTGGTCATAAATGGAATAACAGCTAAACAACTGAGAAGCAAGCCAATGAAGATGAAACTGATGACCAGCCAAACAGAACAAAAGAATAACGTAGCTCATAGGCTACCCTGTGCAAGTCAGTAATATTACTTCGTTAGAAAAGCAATCAGTTCATGGAGAAGCATGCGAAAATAACCATGCTCTTTCTTCATGGGCAGAATTGACCATACTTTCAGTGAGCCATGGTTAATTTAGGATCCATGATTAAAAATAACATGGCAACTTCCTGGGAGATTCAGAGGAGAACTGAAATTTTTGAAGGTTGGAAAGAGGAAATTTTTAAAGTTGTATTCCTAGCAGAAGGGAAATGTAAGCCTGACCTTGTAATATTAACAACAGTTTAAAAGTAGTATTTACTAATTTGTGTAATAAAAATGAATTTATTGTTATTAATCTTAAGCAGTTATTTGCACAACATTCCTATTAGTTATATTTCATTGATGAATATACTTAGCAAGACAAAGTTGTTCATTTCCTTATTTACTGAAAGATCATCATGTGCAAAATATAGTGCATTTAGCTAATCCTTAAAATAACTAATGGATATGAACCACTGTATCTATTTAACACACAGAAAAGGCCTGGACAAGTTACAATACAAGAGAAAGAAGAGTTTAGGTCTCAACTCAAAACTACAGCTCTAGCCCTCATAATCTTTCCCCCTTAACAGTCTATGGCTTTTTACAATGGCTGGCAGCATGGAAAGAATAGGGCTGTCTTCTGGAAAAAAGTCATCAGAAACAAATAAGAAAAGTGAAAAGCATGGGCATAGGATTCGAAGGCAGGTATTCTCCTTCTCCCTCATGATTGTTCCAAAACACAACAAGAAGTAGGTTTTAAGAAATAATAGCACACAGTTAAAATGTACTCAATACTTCCAGAGTAGTTCAGTGTTCTACAGGCATCACAACATTTGTTCCTCAAAGAAACACCATCTGCATGTCTCAGATGAAGGAACAGAAGCAAAAAAAGTTGCATAACTTTCCCATATTCACTAATGAGCTAGAATTTGAAATCAAGTAGTGTGCTTTCAGAATCCAAACTGTAATCTACATTGCCTCCTACGTGGCAATAACTCATCCAGAAATACTTTCTTTGACAGGATAGTGGAGAAAGTGTTCTAGACAGGTGAAGAGACTACGCACTGTGATGCAGTGCCCACATCTGATTTCTGGCTGTATGACAAAAAAGCATAGGCCAAAATTTTCAGATAAATCTAGAAATAGTTTAGTCACATTTCAGAATGCGAACTAGCATTAACAGACATCTTTTGAGTCCCAAATATGATACAAAGTTATTTCGGTTTGAGGTTTTTTTTTTTTTAATAACAATGCTGATGTTATATAATAACAAATGCTTTTTATTTTTTTAGCAATAGAAAGAAGTAGAGAAGTGAAATCAATACTTTTTACATACTTTAGTTGACTTATTGAAGAGATGTCAAAATATCAAGAAATTTTATCTTGACATTTATAAAACAGGGACCTGTTATAAGCATTATACAGTAAGTACAGATAAAATATGAGACAGGAAATTCATGTTCAGCAAAGCTACAAATACAGCATATTTGAAATGCATTCTGTCTTGTTGCACTTTTATTTGTATGATTCAAGTAAAATCAATAATATAGTTATATAATAATATGCTTTCCTAATATATAATATGTACTTCCTAAAGACAGGAAACCCTTTAATTTTTTTTTTACTAAAACTGTTTAAGGCAATATTGGTAAGATGTTTATTAATAAAATAAACTTTACTAATTTTGTAAAACTTGTAAAAATCCTCATTCCAAAATGATCAGTGTCTATGCTCTGGCATGTTCCAATGCATTTCAACTACATTTTCTCCTTAAATTAACAAAAAGTTTAGACAGTAGTATTTAATTGTTCATGACATACTGTAAAAACCAAAACCTATAGAACAGAAACATATTTTTCAACAAATATCTTAGAGAAAATATTGTTGATTCAAAAGCAACAATCATATTTTGATGTCCCAAGTGAAAGGTGTTTGACATTTTTTCTTTTACATTCTCAAAATAAGTGAATTAAACTTAATTTTCCAGCCATTGCCTGTATTGTCTGTTTCCCCATCTCACTATTTATTTAGCTGTGACTCAAATGTTCTTCAAACAGCTAAATAGTGAAGAAGAAGTAGCAGGAGGAGGAGAAAAAAGTACATAAATACATGGTTTGATTTTCCACTTATCAGCTGTAACAGTAACCGATCATTATTATCTAAATCAAAATCATGCATGCCCATTATCAGGCTTTGGTTATGGTTACTAAATCACTGAATTATTCTTTTCACATCCCAAGCCTCAGCTGTATCTGCATGCATGTATTTTCAAAGCAAATTTAATCTTACCTCTTAATAGTATCTTTAGAATGTAGCTATAACATGAATGTGCCTTAATTATTTCTGAAGAAATTCTGATGTATGATCATAACTCAGATTCCATGTTTGTTTGTTGCAATATGAGGTTTAATCCTTGAAAAATGACATAACTAATTTCTATTTAAAATTGTATCTTCAGAAATCTGTTTTCATGCAGACATCCATTCACTTTAAAAGTATTATTTGTTTATTTTAGAGGCAGAGAGGGAGAGACACCTCCCAGTCACTGGTTCATTATTAAGGCTGGCCAAAGACAGCAGCCAGGAAGAATTCCCATCTTCCTTAGGGTGGTATGACTGCAGACACTTGTGCCTTAATCCTTACATCCCAGAACCTGCATGAAGCAGCAAGCTGAAGTGAGGAGCTATAGCCAGGCATTGAATCCAAGGACTCTGAAATGGGATGCAGGCATACAAACTTTCAAGCCAAAAGCTTAGTACTGAAAATTATCTGAAAGACTGTGAAGTACTTTGTGAATTTTGTGGGAAAAAATAGACTTAGAAGATACATTTACTTTAGAGCATGAAGATTCTCAGGCCACATATTTGAGTATGCACAAAGGGTCTTCAAAAAGTTCATGGGATATGAGTTTTATGAAAAACATTGCACACAGTTTTTAAAACTTTGCAACAAAATACACTGATCTCTAAATTCCATCTTCCCACAAACTTTTTGAAGAACTTTCATGTAATCTCACGCACACTTCTTCCTCAATCACAAAATCACACATAGTGACTTTAGACAGCTTAACCTCTACAAAGAATTTCAGAGAGCTCAGGAAGGTTACAATTTATAACACTGCAGGAAAGCAATAAGTATTGCCTACTGGTTTTAATAATCAGCACAGCAAAGAATTTATGTCTGTCTGATTCAATATGTTCAATCCTAAAGCTGTGAGTACCAAGTGTCTTTCATTTCCAACTACCCATGAAGTATTTAATTTTGTAAAATAATTTTAGGAGGCAATTTATGACTTTCACACTAAAGAAAAATCTAAAAAGAGCAGTAGGCACTTCTGCACAAATGAAGACAGAAGAATATAAATAAATACATGTCGTGTGAATCAATCTCTAACATATTCTAAACTTGGAAAGACTCTGCAAAATATCAAAAAGTTCAACATATCAATTCCTAATATAGAAAACACAGTAACAAAATTTATCAGAATGTCTTATTTTCATAACCCCCCAATTTTTTTTTCAAAGTATCTGTCTAATATCCACATGGAATCAAATATTCCTGCCGCCACCGGGCATCCACCTTGAAAGCTTTATGGCAGTCATTACTTTCTTGTCTACATCACTCTGCTTGACTCTTAGTCCCTGGATGGACACTAGAATGCTTTTTACGTCACTAAGCTCCTATGCTGTGGCACATGATCTGGTATATAAGAACTTGATCTATTTCTAATTAAGTGAAAATTGACATTTTTTTCAACCCTGTCCTAAGCATACACAATAGATGTAATAAACACTTTGGCATATGAAGTGAAGTTAATCATCAATTTTTAGAACATTAAGCAAATTAGCATCTGGAATCACCCATATTTTGAAATATATTTTCATAGGATATGCACACATGCTTATTTGCCTACACACACTTCATACATACACTAGGCATTGTGCCAAACCTTATGCAAATAGATGGCCAATTTTTGTATATTCCATGAGCTAACAATTGTGTATTTTTTAAAACTTTGTGAATGGCTGAAGACTATCAAAAGAATATTTTATGTAAATTATTATGAAATCCAAATTTGATGTTCCAATTCATTTTATTTAAACACAGCTACATTTAATTGTTTAGATATTATCTTTTTGACCAAAATTAATTTTTCTAACAGAGATCATATGAACCACAAATCTAGCTATAGATTTATTAGCAAAGTGATGGGTGCATTTATTCTGTTTTCAACTTTAACATTTTCATAATCTTAGACATTATAAAAATTTGAAACGGAAGTCTAAGGACCAGTATTAATCTGGAGATGCAATTGTGTAATTAGGATTCAGCGGAAGAAACATTTTAAATGTCTTTAGGGAATAAGGCATCCTAGTTAGCCAGCACCAAGGTAGTCATGATGCGATCATTAAGTGTCATGATCAACTTCTACTTAAAAAGATCATATAACCAAAATGATCTTTTTCAACATTTCTATACCATTTATAATGAAAATGTACTTGACATTTTCTACTAGAAGTTTGCTTTCTTTGGCTCGGCTTATTCACTTCTAAAGACAAAGGAGTTTGTTGTCTGACCTCACACTGAAGATCCCTTTAACATGATGCATATTTTAAGTATCCTGAGAAAACTTTCGCTGCATTGTTGTTGAATTATTAGATAAAAGAAAAAAAGAATATTCTCGGGTGTACAAAAAATAGTGGAAAACTACTTGCAGACAGTATCTTTCTGAAGACAAAAGCTTTAAATTTCAGGGAATTTTCATTATCTTCCTGCAGAATGGAACTGAAGCTCAGAGACATTAAGTAAGTTCCTCAATGTATAACAGTAAGAAATGAAGTACCAAGATCTAAATCCCTGGTGCCCTGGACCCAAAGTCCATGGGACACAAGTCTATGTAAGTCACTTAGCAAAAACCACATTTAAAGAATGGAATTAAAAGATGTTTAAAACTAAGATTATAGAAATATTAGCAAGGAGCATGACTGAGTGCTTTTTATTCATTGTTCACATAGTCTAATTTACACTGATTTTTATGGTTCACCCTGCTGAGTTGGCTCTAAATGTTTCCTTGTAATATGTATAAATTTCTGACAGTCCTGGGCTTTTTTTTTTTATCCTAAAGTTGGGTAGTTTCATAGTAGAATAATGGACTTACATAACTTTTTAACTTTGAAAGCATATTTGTATTTGATTAAAGACGAGGTTTGTTTTGTAAAGATTTTTTTCTATAAGTATGCATAAATATACATGACACCCATAGTTCAAAGATGTAAAGATGCTTAATTTATAATTTTAAGTGTATAGTTTCATTGCAAATAATTCTAAAGTGGCAGGGTATTGGCTATTAGTATTTCTTTAAGTACTTCTGGATATTTATCAAAGCTTGCAAAATAGTACATATCCAATTGGCATACTAAGAATTTCATAAGTGAGAGAATTTTGTGGGTTTTGAAGGTGATTGAGTCTTCATCAGTAGCTAGCAAACAAATGTGTGCAGTTGTTATGAAAAAATCTTAGGAAGAATATCATCAAACTAAGAACTCTAAGACTAGAATATTAAATGATGAGAAAAATATAATCAACTGTTCCCTATAAATAAGGCAAAGGCATTTTCATTTCTCCTGTTTGTCTACAAGTACTAACCACAGAAAAAGGAAGCAAACATAAAACAGCAATAGGCAGCAAACCAGAGGAGCAAATCAACACACTCAAACACATGCAGTGTACCATCATCATCTCTCATACTTGTTGCAGAGGAGGGTGTGCTGCAACTCAGCAGCCAGTCAGCTGTATTTAAAACAGTTATGTTGTCCCCTGAGAACAGGAATGGTATATGAGTTCATTGTCTTGACGCTTTCTGAATGTACAAGAACTAATCTTCAATGACTGTACCCATTTCTGACCTTCCAGCCCAATCTCTAAAGGCAAAAGTCATTTACATTTTAGTTTGTCAACCTTGTTTTCGGTATCAGAGTACTTTATTTTTTTAAATCTGATCATCTGGCAAATAATTTAAGGTTTAAATATACATATAAAAATGCATTATACATTTGAAATTTCATAATTTATTAGCTGAAATTAAAGATGCATTTTCAGAGACAAGTGAGTATTATAAACAGGAAAGTGTTAATCTACAAAGGGTTCACTGTAAAATATTATTAAATACAGGTAAGTTGCAATGCACATAACTTTACAAAGAAAGTTTTAGACTGCACAGTTAAATTAAATTAGATGGGAAGAGGTGTATCAATTTTAGATTTATTTAAAATTTAAAAGAAAATATGATGTGGCAAATGCTGATATCTGTTAATGCCAGAAGTTTATACATTTAAAAGAGAGTAATCTAATTGACTAGATACACACTTCAACATTATCGTGGACATCTAAGGTATGATTTATAGATCATGTATATAAATAAGTATATATTACCACAAGGATATCATAAAGTTCATGGAAACAAAATTTTAAAATGTGTTCTAAAATGCTAATTTTTTAATAAAATTTTTTGAAATCTAAGCATATGTGGGCCATTTAAAAAGTTCATGGGAATAATATTATTTTAAAAATGCACATTTTGAAAATTTTTTGCATCAGAACTTATCTTTCAGGGCATGCTATGGTAGCCTAGTGGCTACATCTTAGCCTTGTATGTGTTGGGATCCCATATGGGTGCTGGTTCGTGTCCTGGCTGCTCCACTTTCCATCCAGCTCCTGCTTGTGGCCTGGAAAAGCAATGGAGGATGGTCCAGGGCTTTGGGGCTCTGCACACATGTGGGAGAATCTTTTGGCTCTTGGCTTCAGATTGATTTGATTCTGGACATTGTAGCCATTTGGTGAATGACTCAGCAGACAGACAAGCTTTCTGTCTTTCCTTCTCTCTGCAAATCTGACTTTCCAATTTAAAAATCAGATAAATAAATCTTAAAAAAAAACTGTAGTGGGTGTTGGGTCCATGATCCCCAGGGGTGGGGCGGGGGGGTCAAGAGGGGCCTGGGTCTCTTGGCCCAGGATTTTGGGTCCGCCTGTACAGTGGGTGCTGAATCCATGAGTTGCAAAGGTGGAGGATCCAGAAGGGTCTGGGTCTCTTGGACCAGGTCATGGAGCCCACCTATAGGTCCTCCTCAGTGTATAGGATGGCATGCTGGATGGCAGGCCATGGATCACATGAGGAATATGGTAGCCCATTGGAGCCTGCAGAGGACATCTTGGTACCACAGCAGAAAATGGATAACAGAACGTATGGGCAACTACCTCAGTCAAACAATGACAACAAATATGTAATCAATTGCAGAATCTAACATTGATCGTGTCAGTCAGTGGACATTCGAAGGGATTCCTCATCCATAGATTGTCATGATCAACAGCATTTTGGAACTGCCGCATCTATCTGGGCAGAACCCCCAGAGAATGCACCACATTGTGACCCTGGGTTGATATTGGGTGGCCTTTTCTCATCCTTGTATACTGGGATGGTTGGGAAGCTGGATATGGCCTATTCCCCTATCTCTCCACTCCCCCTAGAAATGGGAAGAAGAAATACAAAGTTTGGAAACAATGATCAGACCCACCTCTGTCTAACCCTAGACACTTTGCATCCTGATTGACTTTAAAAAAAAAAAAAAACTATCTTTCAAGAAATTATATATATTTATCTTTTTTTTTTTAATTTATGAGAAAGAGAGAAAGAAGGACAGGTTGATAGATTTCGTAACAGCTGGTTCACACCCCAGTTGACCTGAACAGTAACTGTGGACCAGACTGAGGCCTGAGCTGGAGATCAACTCTCGGTCTCCACATTGATTCAGACAGCAAATGACTCGACCATCTTCTGTCACTCTCCAGGATGCACAATAGCAGGATAATGGAATCATGAGTCAAGCTGGGGCCTGAACTCAGGCATTCTAATACAAGATGCACGCATCTCAAGCAACACATCAACTGTTGTGCCAAACACCCACCTTGAAAACTTCTTTTAATTCCTTTTTTTGTCGTGAACTTTGTGAAGTGCTTTTGTATTCTGATGCAAAAATTTGAGTTTATTTATGACAAGTGGGATTCGTTGTATGAAAGTAATAAGTAAAATGCTTAAAATAACAGCTATTATTGTTACCACATGCTGTGGAAAAATTATGGGCTGGGCAAATGGAGAACTATCTAGAAAAGATAAAAAATCTTTTACAGGTAAGTATTAAGTATTATTCTCTGAAAAGAAAATGCAGTAGATAAGAATATATTTGTATTTACAAAATTATTTTTAGGAAAATTTGAGATAAAACATTTTTTATGATTCAAAATAAATCAGAAGTGGTGTATATATAAGTGTGTGTCATATATTACATACACAAGTGCATATATGTAACATTATTTTATGTATATATGTAATATCAGTATGTTCACAATTTTAATATGTTTGGAACGATTACAGTGGTAAATACCGAAAGAAAGCCTCGTTTAAGGCCCTCGAAATGTTGCTAAGGACTACCTCTTCCCTTTGAAATTCCCTGGCTATAGCAAAGGCATATCGATGTTAAGTAAATCAATGCCACAACAGATAATATTTAAACAAGGTATTTCTTGGATGTAACACTTATTATCGTCCTGATGAAGAGACTTCAATTATTAACAGATCCTTAAAATGTAGAATTACAGCAAACACTTTGACATGCCACTCTGGGTATCTCTGGGGTGATACACTTACCTCCTGTGCCATTTGTTGTGACTGAAGTGCTGCTGAGATTAGATTTGTCCAGTTTGGAGCCACCAGGGGCCTCACCAGCTCCAACAAGTGTGTGTGGACTTGCTAGGTCCTGCATTTCCATAGACCTGTTAGAGCAGGAAGCAGGAAAGTAAAAGTAAACCTCTCAACAATTATTTATTAAATTAATAAATCACATGTGTGATATCACAAGCCTAAGGACTGGAATGAGCAGCTACAAACAAAAGCAAATACAGTTAGTTTGTAGACCTACAACTATTCCACATAATGCTTTAAGGAGGAAAGACTTTGCCATTTGGGCAGCTTTAAGTGGTTATGGACACTGTTCCTAAATGGATCGCTTCCACTATAAAATGCACTTCTGCTATAAAATAACTCCCCAAATTTCACATGTCCACCATCAAAGAGAAAGAAATCAGCAGCCAGAAACAAATTCCAAACTAGAGCAGAAGCTTTTAGCTGACCTTGTTGACATGGGGGCAGAAAGGGAAGAATGGAGGATGAAAACTGAACCCTGTGCCTGAGAGCTGGAGTTGTAACACTTTTCATATCCATTCAGAAACAGAAGTCTCTTACTTAATGTTTGGGTAGGATAGCATGCTAGAAATGAAACCCTAAAGAAAGTAAAGATTCTTAGAAGGCTAACTGATCCTCTTCTGAAAAGACAACAACAAAAGAAGAAACACACAGTGGTCCAAAGAAGCTATGTGCTTTTATGAAGGAAAGGAAACACACAAGATAAAAAACTGAGTGAATTTGTTGTCAGTGACCTAACTACAAAAATCACTGACAGATCTTCAGCTGACAGAAAGGATACCCGATAAAAACAAATCTATAGGAAGCAACGAAGAATAACTTACACACCTATACATGTAAATATAAAAGAAAAGAGAGTCTACTGAGGCAAGAAGCAAATCCACTGCAATATGGTAAAGTGACAGTAACAGCATGGAAAGACGATGGGATGAAGTTGCACTTCTCAAAATTGATTTCAGTACGTTGTGTCTGGTTAAACTTGAATAATACATAAGTTTAAGGTGCATAAGAGAATCCTTACTATCATTTTTTATTTAAAAAAATCCCAATAGGATATAAAATCCAAGGGAAAAGAAACTTAAGTACACACTGTTCAAGCTGAATAACTTGTAAGAAATGTGGAAGACACAAAGAAAGAATATAGATTGAAAAGAAGAAAACTCATATTGAGACACTGCATTAGACCCAACAGTAATGATAACTGCACTAAATATCAAAGGGCTCAGCATTCCAATGAAAAGCAAAGAAGACTGGATTCCACACACAACATCCAATTATTGGGGGTCACAATAGAAGCACATTAACGGCACAGAGCATGCCAGTCATCCAGCTCTAGGACTGAAGAACTCATTTCTAACATCGCCAGGATGGTTGTTAATGTCAGCTCTTCCATGAAATTCTTTCTAGGATACTCTCAACTAAAAATAGTCACTCTACCGAAGACCACACTCTTTCTGGAAGCTGACCTTATCTACTAATTGATGGATGCAGGAGAATAAAGACATCGCCTCCTTGCCCCACAAGTCAATCTAGTCTAGTGCTCCCCAAATAGTTCAGTTGAGTCCTCTGTTGCAATGGCTGTACATCAATGTGTCCTGGGTGAATTTTGCTTTAGTCATCTCCTCACCTTCAGCAGGTGAAACTGACAGCACAGCTCACATACTCTGCTGTACTCAATCTCCACCATGTCTGCTTTTGGGGAAAGGGAACCTGCTTAAACTGAGGGAAAAGCCTGGAAGACTGCAAGCATGTGAATTATCAACACAAGAGAGACATTCACGCTACACTAACAGCACACAAAACAGGCCTCAAGATGAAGCTCAATTGCAACATAGAAAGAGGGAAATTAGGGGCAGATGTGTGGCACAGCAGCTGTTAAAATGTGACTTCTAATGTTCACATGCACACCCTTGGAGAAGATGATGGCTCAAGTATCTGGATCTCTGCCACCCAGGGAGGAATCATACACTCAGTTCTTGGCTGGCAGCTTCTCCTGCCTTAGTTTTGCAGGATTTAGGGGAGTAAGCCAGTAAATGTCAGACCAATCTCTCTCTTGCATCCTTTCAAATAATAAATCAGTAGATAAACAAATAGATACATAATTTTAAAAAGAAGGAAAACAGAAAATTATGAAGATATGGTAACCCCAAGTTTGCGCATATAAATTTAAACACATTAAGTAAATCTGACAGGAATAAAAAATAAAGCAGGCAAGTTCATGATCATGGTTGAAGCTTTTATAACGTGCTTTACATAACAACCAATAAATAAAAATGGAATAAAAAGACATGTGAGAAATAAATTTGCATACCATTATCGTGTTTAATAGTTAAAAATTATCAGACTTGCTTACAGACTAAATAGCATTTTCAAGTGCACTGTCACCAAAAGTTACCAAAAGGATTATATGCTAGAAAATAAACTGGTACATTTTAAACTGAAATATTACACAAATGTAATATGACTGCAGTGAATGATTTAGAAAGCAAAGATAATTATGTAAAAGTAATTAATATCTAAATTATATATAACATATAAAGTAATTTTAAGCATTTGAAAATTAAACATTACATTGTTAAACACTATTAGAAATCACAATTATATATAAATAATATTTAGTATGAAATAAAAAAGAAAACACATCATGTCAAAAGTTGTAACCTATAAATCAGATATTGATTACAAAGAACTTAATATGTTCAAGTAGCTATATTACAACAGAAGAGTTTAAAATCTTTCCAGCCTATACAAAATTGTACCACATAATTCAAAATCCAAAATAAAAATACATTTTAAAAAATCTTTGATCCAACTTTCCACCTCAAGCATCTAGAAAGAGAAAAGCAATTTAGAGAAGATTGAATAGAACAGAACAATAAACAGCAGATCTCATTGCAAAAGAAAAATCCATGGATAATTTAGTCAATTTACAAATTTAGAAGATAATCTAAATTTATAATCCAAATTAATAATGATATTAAGATGATAGTAACAGACTACCATGAACAAACATATGCGAACAAATTCAACAGATGAAATGAATGAATGATAAACTTATAAAACTTGACCTAATGGTAACAGATAATCTACAACAATTCTAAAAACTAAATTGAATTTATAACTAAACATTTCTCATAAAAGAAAAGTGCAGGATCATATGACTACATTAATGAAAAGTAATGACAATCTCTTACAAATTCAGGGGGAAAAAAAATAGAGGAAATGCTTTCATTCCCTGGTAGGAGGATAGAATTACCCTCGTCCCAAAACTGACAAAGATAATTTCAAAAAGAAAATTATGAATCATTATTTCTTATAAACATATGTGAAAAAAATCTAACAAAATATTCTCAAATCAAATTCATGAATAAAAGAAAAATAAACCATGACAGTGTATGGTTTATGTTAGAAATGTAAAACTGACCTGACATTTAGAAATCAATGTAATTCAATATATTAGGAGAATATTATTTCTGTGGGTACAAAAAAGTATGTGCCAACATCTATCATCCATTCTTGACGAAAAAAATTCTTGGCAAATATTTTCCTTCCATCTGATAAAAACAATTCTGAAAAATCAATAGCCTCTATCAGATTTAATGTTGAAATGTTGAATTCTTTCAGAACCATGGCTGTTTGCGCTGCTTTGCTTATTAACATTTTACTGGCAATTGTAGCCAGTACAGGCAAAAGTCAATACATGAGGTGAAGTTTAGAAACAAACAAGCAAACAAACAAAAACCTGACTCACTGGTGACACAGCTGTTTATTTTTTTAAATTCTGAGAAATTCATTTAAACAACCCAAACTACCAGAACTGATGAACAAAATCAGCAGTTACATGTACAAGGCATTTGGCAAGTGCTAAATAAAAACACGAACTAAAAATATCAGATGCGTGTCAGTGCCTCTCCAGTTAAGCAAGGATTATCAAAACAGTGGTTGCTGAGGACCCTGGAAATTAGACAATTCACAGTTCAACTCAACTCTAGGAATGAAGTGAAAGACCAGACTCTTAATTTAACTGACAGAAAAAATGACTTAAACTCCTCAGGAGGGAAATAAAACAGTACTAATATGCTTCAGTCTCTAACGATACAGTCTTGTGCTGTTAACAATAGGGATGGTTCTAAGACATGTATTATTGGGAGGTTTCACTGTTGGGTGGAGCTCATACAGTGTACTTAGTCTAAGCCTATTACCATGCCACTAGGCAATATAATTTTCAGGGACTGTGGGATCATATGCTATCCCTTGTTTAAAAAATGTCATTATTACATGATAACCATAACACTAAGAGTATTACAAATACTTTGAAATATCATGAAACAGGAGAATGTGACTCAGTGGGGACAGAACATAATAAAAGTGATCCAGCTTTGGAAATTAATAAACAAGGATTTAAAAACTAATGTGCATTTATTAAAAATTACAAAGAAAAATCACATACATAGCGTACGCCTATAAATAGTGCATGTACAAATGTACATGAATGTATGTGTACAAAAAAACAGTTTATATATATGCAGAGAGAAGGAGAGAGGGATATAAGTATGTAAGACCGGAACTTGTAGAACAAAAAGGTCAGAAGATGGTACAATGGCTCAGTTGGCTAAGTCGCCATTGGCATCCCATATGGGTGTCAGTTTGTGTGCTGGCTACTCGACTTCCCACCCAGCTCCCTGCTTATGGCCTGGGAAACCAGTGAACAATGGCTCAAAACCTTGGGACCCTGCACCTGCATGGGAAACCAGGAAGAAGCTCCTGGCTCCTGGCTCCTCATTTCTGATTGGCTCGGCTCTGGTCATTACAGTCATCTGAGAATTGAACCAGCAGATGGAAGACTTTTCTCTTTGCCTCCCCTTTTCTCTGTCAATCTGCCTTGCCAATGAAAAATAAATATTCTTAAAAATAAAAAAGTTCAAAAACAGGAATTCAGAAAGTTTGTGGAAAATGAAATTAAAAGAATACACACTTCCATTAACTTGCAGAAGCCCCCTTGTATACAGAACATGGAAAAAATGAAAGCTTTTAAGAATGATGAGATAAAATTTCTAGAATAAAGACTAAG